AGGCCATCTTTTCTATTCTCCTGTTCCTTCTCAGCAATCAAGAGCCTCTTTGCTCTATTTTTGCAGTCCACAGCTGTACTGGAGCTTTCTTTTTGGGCAAACTCACAATGTTTTAGATCATTCTACTGGGCTCTTTGCTCTTAATTCTCAATGTAAATCTGGCTAAAAGCCCCCAACAGTAACCATACCACTGCTTCAACATTAGACTGCCTTGAAATTTCTTCTACCAGATTAAGTAGTTTGCTGCCCTTAATCTCAGTCTCAGGGGCTGGGGATTTAGCTCAGCGGCAAAACCGCCTGCCTGGCAAGCGCAAGGTCATGAGTTCGGTTCCCAGTACCGGAGAAAAACCAAAAAAAAAAACAAAAAACAAAAAACAAAAACAAACAATCTCAGTCTCAGGCAAAATCTCTGGACATGAGCAAAATGTAGACAAACTTTCTGTCAAGCCATAACACATATTGTCTGGAGTCCAACAGCCAAGGCAGTCCTTCTTCCCAGCAGAAACCTCCTGATCTTGGTCTTTACTGATTTTCTGAGCTCTGACCAGAATCTCCTATACAGAACAGCCTAAAGTGTTCCAGCTCTACTTTTTTAACCAGCATCTCTGAATCTTTCCAAACTCTTTCCACAAACCATTCTCAAAGACTCCTGAACAACGTGGTCTGGTATAGTCTCAGCAATCATTCTGGCAATGACCCTTCTTCTCTAGTACCAAATTCTGTCATAGTTATTTTTCTCTCATTGCTGAGACAAAATACCCAACACCCACAAGTTAAGAAAGGTTTATTTACCTCACAGTTTGCAGAGGTTTCAGTCCATAATTGGCTGGTTCCAAGGCAGGGTGGCACATGGCAGAGGGGCAACAGTTCATGGCAGTACAAGACAGCAAAAGCAAAGAGAGAGAGCTGGGGGAGGGAGAGAGGGAGCGTGAGAGAGATTGTTAAGAGTCCTGCCCTCGAGAAATTTGAATTTAGGAAGTCATTAAGAACTGTAGAATTGCAGAAGCAGCAATTTATAGCTGGGTTATTTAAACAATTGGTGAAATAGAAGTTGTTATGGTTTGTGTCTGGATGTCCCCCAAAGCCTCATGCAGTCATGGGGTGGGCTTCTAGAGTTTATGATTGATTCACGAGTGTGAGTGCTGCACCCATCCTGGGGTGGGTAGTTTGCATACACTGTAAGGGAGGGAATGAGGCTGCTTGCTACTGCTCCTCCATTTTTGTTTTGTTTCTTTTTTTTTTGCTTTGTTTTTTAGTTTTTTTCTGGTACCAGGAATTGAACTCACGACCTTGTGCTTGCCAGGCAGGCGCTTTGCCACTGAGCTAAATCCCCAGCCCTGCTCCTCCATTTTCGCTCTTGCTGCTTTTGCTGTTTTCCAGAGCCATGAACTGTTGCCCTATGCCATGTGCCACTCTGCCTTGGAGCCAGCTGATTATAGCATGAAACTTCCACAAACTGTGGGCTAAATAAACCTTTCCTTTCTCAATTCTGGGAGTCAGGTATTTTGTCCCAGCAACAAGAAAAAAGTAACCAAGACAGAAGTCAAAACATACTTCATTATAGAGAGGACTGTTTTTTGGCAAGAAGGTCTTGCTTTGTATTCCAGGCTGGATTTGAACTCACTATAAGTGTGTGCCACCACACCCGCCTAGAAAGGACTTTATATCTACTGTGGTGGGGGAGAGAAGGGCTAGTATGACAGTCTTGAAGGCCAGAAACAGTATGGAATATACTGACAGTCTGGACAATATGCAAAATGTTTCATGAGTAATTTTTTTTTTTCCTTTGGGTGCTGGGATCCAACCCAGCACCTTGCGCAGACAAGGGAAGAGCTCTACCACTGAGCCACACCCCCCAGCCCAATGAGTAATTTTTTGAGTGAAGGAATGGTTGAAGTTCCATAGGTACTAGGTCATGGAAGGCCTTCAAGGTGCTATTAATGTTATTATCAAATTAATTTCACTTGTGTTCTAAAACTGACCCCCCCCCCCCCCCCATGAAATTGGTAGGTCTCAAGCAAGGTTCAGTGGGGGCCTCAAGTCAGAACCAAGGAAGTTAGAGAACACCTTGAAGGTAAGACTAGATAGTATTTTTTAGCCCGGTCTGGGGGCAACAGCCTGTACTCCCAGCATCTGGGATGCCGCCGAGGCAGAACTGCAAATTCCAGCCCAACTTGGGCAATTTAACGACTCAGTGAGACCCTGTTTTAAAGAATAAAAAGGTATGAGGCCGGGCGTCAGGGCGCACGCCTGTAATCCCAGCACTCGGGAGGCTGGGGCAGGAGGATCGTTGCCAGCTCAAGGCCATCCTGAACTGCATAGAGAGACACTATCTCAAAAAGACCAAAAGTAAAAAAAAATAAAAAGTAAAACGGTATGAGGATGTAGGTCAGTGCAAAGGCTCTAGAGTCAATCCTGAGAACCGCAAAACAAAAAAACCAAACTAAACCAATATACTTCCCCACCCCCCGCCACCTGGGAAGGTAAACACAGGGTCACAGGGGGTGTTTCTCAGGGGGTGGGTGACTTGGAGGGTGGGGCAGGTGAAGTGCGTGTTGACTGATTTCTGTCTCCCTTCCATGGGCAGCTGTGTGTCTGAGTCTTTCGCAGGTTCACGCTGCGTGGTGATTTTCTCCTTAGGAGCAAACGCCAGTGTGTCTGAGCAAGAACCCGCACCGCCATCGCCAATCACAGGAACCACAGCCACAATGCCCGTTACGGCAGCTACCTAGGGCCAAGCAGCTGTACGCCCTCGCCGCCTGCCCTCCCCTCCTTCCGGGACCGAGGCGTCGACCCCGCCCCTCCTTCCGGTCCAGCCCGCGCTTCCGCTTTCCCGGCGCTTTTCTCGGGCCCGCCCGCCCAGCCGCGGCGCGTCTGCCCCGCCCCCTCCCGCCGGTCCCCGCGCGCTCTTGGCGGGAAGACCCGTCCTCTGCCGGCGGGGAGATGTCGAGGCCTGGCGCGGCGGACAGCGAGGGGAAGGTGGGCTCTGAGGTAGGTGAGGCCGGCTGCGTCGCGTCCTCGGGAGGCTTCTGCGCTCTACAGAAAACCAGGCCTCAGCGCTGAGGCCGGCTCTGTCCGGAGCGGAGATAGCGGCGGGGTCTGACTGGGGCCCCGCTTGCGCCCCTCGCCTGTGTGCCGTGGCAGCTGTCGCCTTCCAGCCAGGTTTTTTTTTTTTTTTTTTCCTACGGGAGACTGAAGCCAGCACCTTTACACTGCGCTACAGTCCAGCGTGTTTACTTTTTAATTTGTTTTAAATTTTGAGACAAGGTCTCAGTCACTGAGTTAGCCAACCCCGGGCTAAAAAGCCTGGGATCCTTCTGCTCCCGCGTAGGTTTAGCAGGTTCCCGTGGGCAATCACGGTGCCCAGTGGGAGCGGTAATTTCATTTCGCTTAGTACGTGGTGCGTCTAGATTTCGGAGGAGAACGGTTTCCGTGCGGGCCCTCCACTTGGGTGATGCTGTCGTTAGGAGCAGGAGTTAGGTTTGTTTACACAGACCTGCCAAGGACCCTGTGGAAGAGACCTGGGATCTGGGATTCTAACACTGTTTTCCCTTATTGACCTGAATAGGTGAACGAATTTAAAGAAAATCAAGATGTCACCTACGTCTCTCTCAGACCGGTACAGACCACAGTTTTAGGAAAAACAGCAAAGGTTTATCTCACCCCCTTCTCCCTCAGTGATTACCAAGTGGAGCAACCCAAGCACTCCAAATCCCTATCAGAAAAGAATTCCAACTACACGATAGTGTGTCAGAAGCCTGAACTAAAGAAAGCTTGCGACGAAATTTTAATTCCAAAGGTGAAAGCCATCCCTTCCAACGCAGAGTCCACTCTGCAGAAATTGTCCTTAGATGTTCACGCTGAAAGCAACAAGCCAGGACGCAGGAGCCCTTCAGCTGCCACCATTCTGAGTGTTGACATGGAGAGCAGTGATGAGGATGTCACCCCAGGCATGGTAAGAGTTTAGTTAGTAGTTTGTTCCAAGTTTGCTTACTGTTTTGAAATTTGAAAGCTAAGGTAGTCAGGGCCCCTAGTGAAATCAAATTATCACCTAAATTTATTTTTTAAAGTTTTTTTTTTGTAGGCCTGGGAATTGAACTTAGGCGTTTCTTTATTTCTTTCTTTTTTTTTTTTTTCTTCCCTTTTCAGGAATCGAACTCATGACCTTGCGCTTGCCAGGCAGGCGCTGTGCCACTGAGCTAAATCCCCAACCCCTGAACTTAGGGCTTTTGCACTGAACCACATTCTCAGTCTCTTTCTATTTTTTATTTTCACACACGGTTTTGCTAAGTTTCCCAGGCTGGATTTAAACTTGTGATCTTCCTGCCTCAACCTTATAAAGTGCTGGCACTGCAGCCTGTGTCTCCATGCTCAGCTAGTATCTAATTTTTTGGCTTCTGCAGCCTACCAGGAATATTGTGACAACTTTTATACAGGACAAGATAAAATCATATGCTGTGACAAAAAGTTGATGGAACTAGGGAAATAAAATGAAGTTAGGGAAAGGGAGGGCCCATGGGAGACAGCATGGGGTCAGTCATAAGTGCCTTAGACCAGAGGTTGGAAGCCTAGTTTCTAGGCATGGTCACTTCTAATAAACCTGTTCTTTTTGTATTTGAGAGGACTGGATAGGATTAGTGACTCTCAGAATTTAGCCTATCAGATTATCTGGAGGGATTCATTTTTATTTTATTTTATGTATTTTTGAGACAGGGTCTCACTGTGTAGTTAGACTGGCCTTGCAGTGACTATGTAGTCCTGGTTGGGCTTGAACTGACAGTGATCTTCCTGCCTCAACCTCACATGTTCTAAGGCATGACAATCACCAGTTTCTGATTCAGAAGTTTTAGAGTTCGGCGGGGCATACAATTTGCATGTCTAATGGGATTTCCTACTGACACTTCTGCTGTTTGTGAACTGCACTTAAAAAACCACTGGGAAAAATTAAAAATAACCACTGGATTTAGATTATCTCTTCGGTTGCTTAGGCTACAAGATTTTCTTTTTTTCATTTTGAGACAGGGTCTTGCTGTGCAGTTCAGGCTGGCCTTGAGCTCACTTCATATCCTACGCTGGTCTTGAATTCGCAGCGATCCTGCCTCAGCCTCCCAAGTGCTGGGTGAGAATACAGGCGTGTGCCACCATGTCTGGCCTTAGGCTACAAGATTCTGAGTATATGAGGTTAATATAAAGCAGATTTTATTTGGATGCAAAGAAATAGGGTCAGAAACTATAGCAGTGAAGATGGTCAAGCAGAGTCATAAATGTCTGGGATACATTTTCTTAGGAAAAACTGTAAGGTAGAATTTTTTTCTTTTTTGGTGCTAGGAATTGAACCCAGGGCCTGTGCATGGTAGGCAAGCACTGTAGCACTGAGTTGTACTTTCCAGCCTTCATTTTCTTCTTCCTTTTCATTTTTTTTTTTGAAACAGTGGCTTGATTTGTAGCTCAGGGAGGCCTTGAACTCACTGTGTAGCCCAGGCTGGTCAAACTCAAGGCGATTCTCTTGCTTCATCCTCCCAAGTGCAGGGATTACAGGTGTGTGCCACCAGGCCTGTTCCATTTCTAACACTTTATTTTATTTTATTTTTTCCATTTCTAACATTTTAGACGATCTTGCTAAGTCACTAACTTGTCTAGGCTGGGCTTGAACTTTGATCCTCCTAACTCATACTCCCAGAGTGCTGGGATGACAGGCATGCAGTTGATTTTTTTTTTTTAAGATTTTGAGATGGTTTTAGGCTTATAGGAGAGTTGAAAAAAATAGCACAGACATTTCCTGTATACTTTTCACTTAGCCTGCCCTGAGGTTTTTTTTTTTGGCTTTTTTGAGACAGGATCTTGCTATGCAATTCAGGCTGGCCTTGAGCTCACTTTATAGCCCAGGCTGGTCTTGAACTCGCAAGGATCCTCCTGCCTCAGTCTCCTGAGTGCTGGGATTAGAGGTGTGTGCCACCATGCCAGGGTGCCCTTAGGTTAATATCTTATATAACCATAGAATATTTGTCAAATTAAGCTATTACCCATGGTACAATATTGTTAATAGAAATATAGAACATACTAGGATTTCACCAAATTTTCCAGTCATTATTTTTCTGTCTACTACCTGGATGGGTCTCTAATCTCCAGTGTGTGTTAGATCTGAAGAATACTGGATAGTTATTTTAGATAAAGTATTCTATTTTGGGTTTGTTAATTTCTTATGATTAGGCTAAGGTTTTGCATTACTGGGAAGGACCCATAGCTCTGTATGTGATATTGCATCCCAAGTAATTTATAAAGAGGAGAAGTTTATTTAGCTCATGGTCTTGGAGTCTGAGAATCCAAGGGCTTGGCAATGCTCTTTGCTCAGCATGCAGTGAGGGTCTTCCTGGTGCATTGTCACACGACAAGGCAGAATGCTTGTGCCAGAGAGAGAGAGTACACAAGTTTATGACAGTTACCCACTTGACAACTCATTGTCCTGTTAAACTGTGATGGGAGTACAGATTTTCCTCATTTATCGATCTTCCTGGTCAATGATGGTTGAGACTTACTGACCTGCCTCTCAGACTTATGACCTGTCCTGTCTTCTTTTGTGTACAATTCTGTGTATCTTTCCTTTTTTTTTTTTTTTTTGTCTTTTTGAGGCAGGGTCTTGCTATGCAGTTTAGGCTGGCCTTGAGCTCACTTTGTAGTGCAAGCTGGTCTTGAACTCAGGACAGTCCTCCTGCTTCAGCCTCCTGAGTGCTGGGATTACAGCACTGTATACCTTTTTTTTGAGGACATGTTCTACATTTTACATTTTAAGACTAATCTCAAAATTACATATCCGTATACCTATTTCCTTTTGTTGATTTCACCTAAACTTAAATGCATGGTTTATTTAACAAAGACTGCAAACAAATATTTACCATGTCTGTTACATGTAATACACAGGAACAGCTTTTGACAGAAATTCATCAACTCCCCCCGACATTTTTTATTATAAATACAGGTATCAAAACAATCCTGAACATATTTTTGATACTACTAGTAGTCAGCATGTATTATCTTTTGTATAGAGCCTCAATGCCTTATTTTTGCACAGTACACCTTGTTTATATAGTACTGTTCTGTTATACATTACAGTACTGCATATAAGAGTTATGTAAGGGGCTGGGGATTTAGCTCAGCCGCAAAAAGCGCCTGCCTGGCAAGCACAAGGTCGTGAGTTCGGTGTAGTCATCAAGTTGGAATTTCCTTTGGCTGTTTCTTTGTTCTGAATATTGTAATGTGCATAGAATATACAATTCCTTATTTAGAGACCAATTCACTTAACAACCTAGTTACAGGAACAAAACTTGGTCGTTAGAAAACTGTCAAGAGGGCAGAGCCCTCATGACTTACTTCCCAAAGGTTGTTCATCCAAATACTATTAACATGAATTTAGCGATTAAATTTCTAACGTATGAAGTTTGGGGAGCACGTTCAAACCATGGCATACTGTTTCCTCATATCTCTGAGGATATTTCTAATTAATTTAGTGTTATGTTTGTGGGAAGCAGTGATAAATTTATGTTTTCTGCTGTGTTTAATTTAGTACTGTGAATTGAACCAAAGGGCTTCACACTAAAGCTACATCCTGTACTGCTCCCTAGTTTTTACTTTGAGACAGGTTGTCACTGAGTCACCCAGGCTGGGCTTGAACTTGTGATTCTCTTGTCTCAACTCCCAGAATGCTGGGATTACAGGCATGTACCACTGCACTGTTAGAAATATTTCTGTTTAGTAAAGACTGAACTTTTGAGTAATAGTGTAATCAGTGACCACTAGGAAATGATTTTCTATAAGGTTCTACTATGTGACTCTTGATAACGGATCACTTCTTATAATTGGGAAGCCATACAAATGTCTTGTGATGATCCCCAATGCAGCCTGTTGGTCACTATCCAGTGTGGCAGAGATGGTTGCTATCTAGTAAGATAACATGAAATGAATAAAAGGGGTCTAATTTGAAGGAATAGATACATGCAGAGAATGAGACATCTAGTTTTGTGAAGTGCATTTGCTGAGCATTATGTAAAGTAATGGAATCTTTTTGATGTAATTTTATAGGGTGATTTTTCAGGATTATCACCATATGAAATGAAGAGACTGAAGAACATATCAGAAAATGCAAAGTTTTTTGCTTCTCTTCAGTTGTCTGAGGTTTGTATGAAGTTTCTCATTAAAACGAAGATACTATTCCTCTTGTCAGATTAATAAAATATTTAAAACTGTCAGCTCTGTAGCTGTAAGATAGCATACATATATATATATATGTTCTGTGTACTTTTCAGTCAGCTGCAAGGCTCCGTGAAATGATAAAGAAGAGACAGCCTCCTAAATCCAAAAGGTAAATGTTTGGTTTACAGTGCCTATACCATGCTATTTTGCTGAATTGTTTTATAATTTTATGTATTTATTTAAAAGGAGGCAGGCCAGGGATATAGCTCAGTAGCACAGTGCCTGTCTGGCAAGCTTGAGGTCTTGAGTTCCATTCCTGCCCTCTCCCCGCCAAGAAAAAAGCCAAATTATTTTAAAGGAGGAGAGATTTGGCTCATGTATTTTTTTTTTTTGTCTTTTTGAGACAGGGTTTCATTAAGCAGTTCAGGCTGGCCTTGAGCTCACTTTGTAGCCCAGGCTGGTCTTGATCTTGTGCCGATCCTTCTGCTTCAGCCTCCCAAGTGCTGGGATTACAGGCATGCGTGTGCCACCACGCCTGGCTAGGCTCACGTATCTTATAATTTTAAAAACTGGTTTGGTGTAGTAAACTTTAGTAGCAGGTCATAAACTCTGTAATCCAATTGCTACAGGATCTTTCAGGGAACACTGTCCTTTAATAGCTTTCTAATTTTCATTTTCACCAAAGAATATGGAGCAGCTGGGCATAATAGCTCCTGCCAGTAATCCCAGCTATGCAGAAAGTGGAGGCAGGATTATAAATTTGAGCCCAGCCCTGGCAGTTTAGTTGGTTGCAAAATAAAAAAAGATGTGGGGTTGTATCTCATTGGTAGAGTGCTTGGTCTCTTTCTTTTTCCTTCCCTCTTTTTCCTCCCTGTTGCCCTCCCTTTTCCCTTCCTCCCTCCCTGTTTTCCTTCTTTCCTTTCATGGTGCTGGAGATCAAATCTAGGGCCTCACATATATTAGACAAGTGCTTTACCACTGAACTACATTCCTACTCCATATTTTTTTTTTTTGAGACAGGGTTTCACTGTGTAGTTCAGGCTGGCCTTGAACTCATGGTGTAGCCCAGGCTGGCCTCAAAATCCCTGTGATCCTCCTGCATCAGCCTCCTGAGTGCTGAGATTACAGGTGTGTGCCACCACGCCTGGCTATATTTCTGTCTTTTTCATAGCTGCATAGCATTCTGTTATATAATATATAATGGCATAATTTGTTTAATGTTTCATTTACTCATGCTGAACATTTAGGGTTGGCTTTTTTTGACTTTTTCATTAAAATGAATGTGGTTGTGTATATATATCGATGTAATAAATGTATGTGCATATACATACACATATGTGACTATACCTGTAGGCCCCATTCCTGGTAGTTATCTCCTTAATATCGCTAAATTTATTTTACTGTTTTTCAGTACAATATAACATGAATTTTTCTCTATTCCTTTAGGAAAAAGCCTAAGAAGAAAGAAAATGAGATTGGATGTAGAAGGTCAATGCGGTTGCTGAAAGTCAGTCCTTCAGAAGTCTCATTACCAGTAACTCCAACACAGCCAGTATTAGTAGAAGATGAAAATGTAAGAAAAAGTGCAGATGAAATATAGTAGCTTAACCAAATGCTGAAAATTGAAGCTGAAGATTTTTTAAATCATGTAGTTATATTTAATTAATGTAGATGTATGGTTTATTGAGTAAGATTTCAAAGTCATAAAGCCTGGGTTGGATTTTGTTTCTCTGAAGTTTTGGGGTTGTGGGTAAATCAGTTATTTCACCTTTCTGAGCCTCAGCTTTAAAAACGTTGTATTAAGGGATTAGTACAGTGATGGTGAACCATTAAGAGCTTTCAGTGATAACAAATAGCTTTGTGCATCACTCCTGCCATAGATTTACCACCACTGACTTGAATAGTCGATAAAAGGCAGTTATTGATGTTAATAATGATAAGTAACATGATTAAAGTGAAGAGTTTCCCTTGCTGTAGTTTATATTATCAGTGAATGGAATGACAGTTTTATTAGATTTATTTCTTAAGTAAAGTTTTATATGTATATATATACACATACACATATACATACATACTTTTTTTTCTGAGACAGGGTCTCGCTGTGTAATTCAGGCTGGCCTTGAGCTCACTTTGTAGCCTAGGCTGGTCTTGAACTTGCAACGATCCTCCTGCCTCAGCCTCCTGAGTGCCATGTATATATTTTTTGAGACAGGGTCTCACTGTGTAGTTCAGGCTGGCTTTGACCTGGCAGTGATCCTCCTGCCTCAGCCTCCTCTCCTCAGTGCTCGGATTATAGGTGTGCGCCGCCATGCTTGGCAAGATTATAATTTTCATTTAAGAGTACTTAACTGTTTTTTTGCGGGGGGTACCAGGAACCAAACTCATGACCTCATGCTTGCCAGGCAGGCGCTGTGCCATTGAGCTTTATCCTGGCCCTTTTTATTTCCCCTCCTTTTGTTTTTCTTTTTTTTTTATAGGTACTGGGAATCAAACTTAGGCACTTGTGCCACTGAGCTACATCCCAGGCCCTTTTTTTTCTTTTTGTCTTTTTGGGACAAGGTCTTGCTATGCAGTTCAGGCTGACCTTGAGCTCACTTTGTACCCCAGGCTGGTCTCAAACTCGCAGCAATCCTCCTGCCTCAGTCTCCTGAGTGCTAGGATTACAGGCGTGCACAACTACGCCTGGCTTTTTTTCCTTTTTTGAGACAAAGTCACACTATGTAGTGCAGGCTGGCCTTGAATTCACTCTGTAGCCCAGGCCAGCCTTGAATTTGCAGCAATCATTTTGCTTCAGCTTCCCAAGTGCTGGGATTACAGACATGTGCCACCATGCCCAGTGTTTCTTTCTCTCATATTCTCATTCATTAAAACAAATTGTTGGTTATGATGTATGTATATATATTGAAATGATTTCACAAGCCAGGTGTGGTGGTGCATATCTGTAATTCCACACTTGGGAGGCTGAGGCAGGAGGATCACAAGTTTGAGTCCTGTGTGGATGATTTAGTGAGACCCTGTTTCAAAGTAAAACATCATGCACAGCAAAAAAATTCACCAGCAGAGAGTGAAGAGACAATCCATAGAATGGAAAAAATTTTTTCCTGCTACTCCTCAGACAAAGGACTAACATCTAGAATATATAAAGAATTTAAAACAAAATAAGACCCCCCCAAATTTATAGGCCCACTCTTAAGAATGGGCATCTGAAATGAATAGATACTTCTCAGATGAAGAAGTACAAATGGCAAATAAATATATGAAAAAACGTTCAACATCGCTGGTTATTTGAGGAATGCAAACTAAAACAACACTGAGATTCCATCTCCAGAAAGAAAGGCTGCCATCAAGAAATCAATCAGTAATAAATGCTGGAGGGGCTGTGGGGAAAAAAGAACCCTTCTCCACTATTGGTGCTAGTGTAGACTTGTACAATCACTGTGGAAATCAGTGGAGTTTCCTCAAAAAACTAAAACTAGAGGTTCCATTTGACCCAGCTGTCCCCTTGTAGGTATCTGCCTGAAAGAATTAAAGCACCATACCATATTGATATATGTACACCTATGTTTCTAGCAGCACAATGCGTAATAGCTAAATCTTGGAAATAGCCCATATGTCCATCAACAAATGGAAAGAAAATATTTGTATACAGTGGAGTAGTACTCTACCATAAAGAAGGATACGCTTGAGTTATTTGTAGGTAAATGGATACACTTCAAGACCATAATGTTAAGTGAAATAAGTTTAAATGTTGGATTATTTCTCTTGTATGAGAAATCCAAAGTGTAAATAAGGAGCAAGTGGAGGTTAAAGATTGGGAAATAGGGAGAATATGTTCAAATAGGAAGGGGAGGGGAGAGGAAAGAAGGAAAAAGGGATTTAAAAAAAAGAATGGAAGGAAAAAAAATGGAAACACAGCTTTTGTAAATGGGGAGAGGAAGAAAGGTTGGAGGGAGAGGAGGATAATGGAAAAAAGATATGTACAGGTAACAAATTTTCTGTGATGAATGATCATTATATATGGCAAATATGTACTAATAAAAATACATTAAAAATAACTAGTTCATAATCACATGAGTGGCAGGCCTGAGGTTAAAACTCAGTTATTTCTTCCCCCCCAAAATAAAAAAAAGGAACCATCAGAAGGCCTAGGGTGCCATGTGTGGTGGCACATGTTTATCATCCCATCACTGCTCTACATAGTGAGACCCTTTCTCCAAAAAAAGAAGGGCTAAGGATGTAGCTCAGTGGTAGAGTACGCCTGGGTTTGATGTTCAGTAACAGCAAAGATTTCACAATCCTTTAATAGTTTGTGAACCGGGCAAGGTGGTGCACGTCTGTAATCCCAGCACTCGGGAGGCTGAGGCAGGAGGATTATTGCGAGTTCAAGACCAGCCTGGGCTACAAAATGAGCTCAAGGCCAGCCTGAAGTGCATAGTGAGACCCTGTCTCAAAAAGACCAAAAAAAAGTTTATGGTGCTGGGGACGTAGCTCAGTGGCGCAGCTCCTGTCTGGCAAGTGTTAGGTCCTGAGTTTGATTCCCAGTACCAAAAAAAAAAAGTTTACACCTGGTACTTTAGAGAATCTTGGCACAGAATGACAACATACTTACATATATATGTGTGCATGCATGCATGTATGTATGGAATTTTTATTAACATACATACTTTTAAATTGACAAAGTTATTGTACATATTTGGGGGTACAGTGTGACATTTCAATACATGTATACAATATGTAATGATCAGATTTAGGGTAATTGACTCATCTATAACCTCACACATATTTCTTTGTGTTGGGAACATTAAAATCTCTGTTTACTGTTTTGAAATATTTAATTAGTAGTTGTCACTCATTGTTGTCCTGCTGTGCTGTGGAGTATAAGAGGTTACTCTGTGGATCCAGCTGTACCTGTTACCATGCTGTGTCCTTCCCTTCCTCTTCCACACTCTTCTCAGGATCCTTCTCTGAAATCAACTTCAGATTCCACATATAAATGGGAAGGTGCAGTATTTGTCTTTCTGTGTCAGATTTATTTCAGTTAACACAGTGCCCTCTGGTTTTATCCATGTTGCTGTAAAGGAAAGAATTTCCTTCTTGTAGAAGTATGACTCGTACTCCATGTGTATACAACACATTTTCCTTATTCCTCGTTCATTTGTTGATAAGCATTTAGGTTGATTCCATATCTTGGCTATTGTGAATCATGTTGCAGTGAACAGAGGATTGAAGGTACCACTTCAGTATACTGGCTTCATTTCCTGTGGATATAAACCCAGGAGTTGGGTAGCTGGATCATAAGGTAGTCTTGTTTCTAGTTTTTTGTGGACCTTCCATACTGTTTCCTATAATGACTGTACTAATGTACATTCTTAGCAACAGCGTGTGAATTCCTCTTTCTTTGCGTCCTTATTAGCATTTGATATCTTTTGTTGGCATTCATTTGTTGACAATGATTATTGAACACCTGTAATGTGCTTCTATGGTTGTTATTGTTGAAAGTAAAGTAGTGAAAAGACAGACAAATACAGTACTCTCCCTGCATTTATATTTTAGGATAAAGATATGAACCATAAAATTTTTATTTTTGATTACAGCCTTTGTTACCTCCTGGACCTTTAGAAATGATTCCTGAAAATGCAAATGATAACCATGAACTATTTAAAGGATTTTTGCAGACATGGGGAGAAATGAACAAGGTATGACATGGGAGGGCTTACAGCCTTTGGAATCATCTGTGAAAGAAATTTCCATATATATATATTAACTTAGTACTTTGGTCTTTCCCAATGTTTCAGACAAGTAGTAAGAACTACTTGGAGGAATTGCCTAACATTAAAAGGTAAGTTAAAATTGTTGTCATTTGTTTTACATTTTTGACCTTTGTTTTACTTTTTTTTCACTTCTTTGTTGTACTGGAGGTAGAACTCAGGGCCTTCACAAGGAGCTACATCCCCAGCTTTTTGTTTTTATTTTTTAAAATTTTAAGACAGGGTCTCGATACATTGCCCAGGTAGGCTCAAACTTATGATCCTCTTGCCTCATCCTCACAAAGCGCTGGCAGTTTTATATTTTTTGAGATGTTTTAATTTTAAAAGCTATATACTATTATAGGGAATTTTGAAAGTGAGGTGAAAAAGTTCTAATGTTTCTCCCGAGCAACTGTTGTTTTTATTTCTGTATATTTTCTTTTGGTGTTGCCATATGCAGTACCATTAGGATATAAACTTCATGAGGGCAGGGATTTTGTCTCAGTAACCAGAACAGTGCTTGGCACATACTATATATCCGCTAAATGTTGAATATCTGAATGAATTTGTTGTATCAGCCCAAGGGTCTGGGAGGCTAGAATACCCTCCACTTTTTTGGCTTGATGTCCTTACCCTGGCTGGAATGCAGAAGGTGAGAGATGAGGCTGACTGAAAACTGAAGATCCTTCTGATGAGAAATGAGGAACCCGAAAAATGAGAGTGAAGTGAAGCAGAGGTTTAATTATATTGTGAAAGTGGGCCTGCCAAACAGTGAGTGAGCTATTTGACAGGGAAAAGCCCAAGCTGAGCTTCTCAGCATAGTGTCTTTGGCTTGTCCATACTTATGATTCTTAAAAAATAACTATTTTGCTGATTGGTATAATCTAGGCCAATCAGAGTTTTAATCTTTGTTTCTGGGATGAGCAAAGGTTCATGGGGCACATGAATGCAGGGGCACATAGTGAATGCAGACACAGGTCCCACAGAGGGCAGCTTTCCTAAGTACATCATGCAGTGTAAGTGTGTGGTCTTCTCTTCCGTGTCAGACACCCAGGTCATGTGCTATACTGCCTGCCTCCCCATATCTGTCCCTACCAGTTCACATTTTTACTTTATGTTCTGAATCATATAAAATTTTGCCTTATGCTTATTTGCTTTTGCATGTGTTACCAGAATCTTTTATTTTTATTTATTTATTTATTTTTGTCTTTGAGACAGGGACTCGCTATGCAGTTCAGGCTGGCCTTGAGCTCACTGTGTAGCCCAGGCTGGTTTCAAACTTGCAATGATCCTCCTGCCTCAGTCTCCTGACTGCTGGGATTACAGGTGTGCATCACCACACCCAACCTTGTGTATCCCATTTTGAGGTTATTTTCTATGTAACTTTGTGTGTTTGTATGCATATTTGTTGAAGTGTATCTATGATAGTGAATTATTTTCTCAGGATAGATACCCAAAGGCAGGGCTAATGAGCCAAACATTGTGGACATTTATGGCTTTTAGCAAACATTCTCAAGTTGTTCTGCAACAATCTTTTTTTTTCATTTTGAAAATCTTATATTGGGTGGAGTGCTTGCCAAGAAAGCACAGGCCTGGGTTTGATCCCCAGTATTACTAAAAAAAGAAAAGTAAAATAAATTTTATTAAATTTTTTGCATTTAATCATTTGTTTGTTTTTCCCTTTGTGGTGCTAGGGATGGAGCTCAGGAATTCCTAATGCTAGGCAGGCACTCTTAGCACTGAGCTATGTTCCCAGGCCCATTTGAGCATTTGTAAAATTCAAATGTACCTTACACTTAATGTATACATATAATGTCTAAGCAAAATATCTTTTATTTTAAGCAAAACATCTCCACATGTATTATGAATGAGTCTTTGTTATCACTGGAAATATGTGACATCTTACCATACTGAGGCCTTCACCTGACTCTTATCTCCTAGAAGACTGTAACTCCCATAAAACTACAAGGGTGTCAAACAGGAAAGAGAATCACAGAATCCCAAAATGGGTGTTATTGTCTGAGGTTTTAAGACTTTGACCATATAGACCTAGTTTAGCAACCTTTTTTACAGTAAGTAAATTAGTTTTGGGAGTAGCTCTTCCAAATTAGCAGCCTAGAAAATATATTTATTCATTAAGCAAACTGTTATATTGCGATATAAATACAAAGTAGTCAAGTTAGATTGCAGAAGTACCACAAAGAGAGCCAGGCATGGTGATGCATGCCTGTAATCCCAACACTTGGGAGTCTGAGGCAGGAGAATCACTATGAGTTCAAGTGCAGCCTAACTTGATAGTGTTCTTAGAAGACAGGTATTGTCCCCATTTTATAGATGAAGAAATTGAGTGGCAATAACTTAGTTGAGGCTCTTAGGTCATAGGCAAAGAGCGTTGTGACAAAAGCAGGACTTTTTTTTCCTTTTTATTTTATTGGTACATTTTAGATACACATAGTGCTAATATTCATCATAGGGAATTGGTACCTGTATACAATACATGTTGCTGCTGCTTCTTTTCTCATTCCCCGCCCTCTCTTCAGTCTCTCTTCCTTTATTTACAAAAGGTTTGTTTCCATTTTTCCTTCTGTTCTTTGTTTTTTGTTGTCTCCCCAGAAATCCCCCCTTGTTGCCTTTCACATTTGAACCTTTTTCCCTTTTCCCAATATCTATTATATATTTTGGTCCTTATTTATACTTTCACTTCCTTTTTTTTGTTTTTGTTTTTGTCTTTTTGAGACAGGGTCTCATTATGCAGTTCAGGCTGGTCTTGAACTCACTTTGTAGCCGAGGCTGGCCTCGAACTTGCAATGATCCTCCTGCCTCAGCCTCCCTTACTGGGATTATAGGTGTGCACCACCATGCCCAGCTATACTTTCAGTTTCTTATACTAGAGAAATTATGCGATATTTACACATAAATGTCTGATTTATTTCACTTAAGAGTATGGTCTGAAGGTCCATCCATTTAGCCAGAAATGTGTTACACTTATCCTACAAACTATGCCGCTGTTGAGTATTCATATAATTGCTGTGATATGTTGCTACAAAACCTGAATTGATTGATTTTGTCTTTTTTGAGACAGGTTTTTGCTATGCAGTTCAAGCTGGCCTTGAATTCACTTTGTAACCCAGGCTGGAGTTGAACTCTCAGTGATCCTCCTGCCTCAGCTGCTTGAGTGCTGGGATTATAGACATGTGCCACCAAGCTTGGCACCAAAACCAGGATTTAAACCAGATTTTTTCTGGCTTAAAAACCCTTGTTAAAGCGGGGTACAGGACAATGGTAGAGCACTTACCTAGCATGTGTAAGGCCTTGGCTTTAATTCCTAGTGCCACACATGTACAAAACTGTTACTTGTATTTACTCTGTCACTAACAATATATGTGAGTGTTTATGTTAGTAGTTAGTTTTTTGTAGTGTTAGGGATCAAACCCAGGGTTTTATGTAGTCTAGCCAAGTAGTCCACTACTGACGTCCCCAGCCCAAGTTTTACTGTGGCCTATTATTATTATTATTATTATTATTTATTTTTTCATTTGAGACAGGGTCTTGCCGTGTAGTTCAGGCTGGCCTTGAACTTACGACGTACCCTAGGCTGGCTTTGAACATGTGATGATCTGCCTGCCTCAGCCTCCTGAGTTGTAGCCTATTAATTTTTAATGTCCTCATAAAATTATCTAAGGCAATTTTATAATTGGAAAATAGTACATCATTGTTTAACTTAATTGCTTTGCTTATCAGGAGGTTGAATATTTTCTAGTATGTATTTACTAATTGTGGTTTTTCTTTTTGAATTCTTTTACTTACTTTGACTATTGAGATTGATTTTACTTTAAAATTTAATGTTTTAATTTTCATAGCTATAAAGCCAATTTAAATGACATGGTCATTAGTGAAGATACTGTTCATAAAGTTACCAAAAGCTCAATATCCTCCGTGGCTCTCCACCCATCAGAAACTGGGATTCTGGTAGCAGCTGGGTCCAAATCTGGGCAGATCGGACTTTGGGATTTGGTAAGTTAGTGATCCTTTTTTTTTGTTTGTTTTGTTTTGTTTTTTTGAGACAGGATCTCGCTATGTGGTTCAGGCTGGCCTCAAACTTGCAGCAGTCCTCCTGCCTCAGCCTTCCAAAGTGCTGTGATTACAGGCAACCATGCCTGGCTGTTATTCTTTTTTGAAGATACTGAAGTTTGACTGAAGCAAATAATCTTAAAAGGCAATAGCTTATAGGCATTTATTTATAAACAGGGCTTGAGATTTTACTTTTATGTTTTATAATTCCAAATTTTAGAAATTGAAGGAATTTAAATTTGTTTTATAGAAACTTTTATTTAAATTGGTTTTAACATTTTTAGCTTGAATATCTTTAGCCATCTGGGCGTAAATCAATTGCCAGGAGACTTTAAATGAATATGTGAAAACTCGGTTATGTTTAAAAATATGGTCTGCTGTGAAGTGACTGTGTGTCTTCCCAAAATTTATGTGTTGAATGTCTACCCCTCAAGGTGACATTAGGAGATGTGTGGTCTTTGGAGGTAATTAGTTCATGAAAGGAGTTAGTGCCGTTGTGGAAGACGCTAAAGAGAGATCCCTTCCCCCTTCTCCCAAATAAGGACTCTACTAGAAGGCACCATCTTGAAACGAGAAATTGGCCCTCCATAGACACTGAATGAGCCAGCATCTTGATTTTGGACTACGTAGTTCCCAGAACAGAGGAATGCATTTCTCCTGTTACGGTAATTTGTTATAGCAGCCCTAGGGGACTGAGCAGTCTCTGAGCTGGATCAGACTACCTTCTAGGGACCTGAGTGATCCAGGTCATCTTTTGATGAGTTTGAAACTTACAGCATTCCGTTCACTGTGCATGTCATACTTCAGTAATGGCTTTCAGTAGTTAGAAAATTGAGAGAAATCCAGTTAATGCTCTATGAATTTATTTTCTAATCGAGGAAGTAGAATAAGGACATAAAAATGTTGAAAGGACATTTAATGGAGGTAAAAACAAAGGTGAGTTGAAGCTGATTGGGGTTAATAAACAGTTTTTGCAAGTGAAGGACAAAAACCAAATTCTTTTGGGAGCATAGAGTCTTTATTTTACTAAGATTTGAGTGGGATACAGTTTAGCAAAGAATATAAACAGAAGTGGGAAGAGGATCAGAAGAGTTTGATGGTTTAGAAGCCAAGAGATGAGTTTCAAGGGCAGGTGAATAATGCTTCATACAGTGAAGTCCCTTCTCATATCTTGGTGATTCTAAAATCTACATTACTGTGTTTCTGTATCTTAATGTTTTCATCAAGCTTCTAATTTCCCAGGAGATTTTTATCCTTTTTTTTTAGCAGATTCAGCAAATCTAAAATCAGTATCTTGCCTGTTCTGGGTTCACCCCCTGTAATGGCTTGTGTCTAGATGTCCCCCTAAAGCCTCATGCAGACAGGTGGGGCTTTTTCAGAGGTGGCTGGATCTACAGTGTGTGATGCTGGCATTAAGGGTGTGTGATGACTAAGGGTGGCCTGAAACTTTCAGTGATCGTCCTGCCTCAGCCTCCCAAGTGCTGGCATGTCAGGTGTGTGCCACCACACCTGGCTAAGTGTATAATTTTGATGCTTTTCAAGAAATATACTGAGTTGTGTAATTATAATTCAGTTTTAGAACACTTTCATCATACTTATAAGATCACTCATGTTTGTTTACATTTATTCCTCCATTCTATCCTTAGCCTCAGGAAAATCTCCATAAATTTGCCCTTTCTGGACATTTCATGTAATGAAGTCATGCACCATGTGGTTTTAAATGTTGGCTTCCTTCTCTTGGCATAATAATTTTGTTTTTAGGGGCTGGGGATTTAGCTCAGCGGCAAAGCACCTGCCTGGCAAGCGCAAGGTCGTGGGTTCGGTTCCCGGTACCGGAGAAAAACCAAAAAAAAAAAAAAATTTGTTTTTTTTGGCATAATAATTTTAAGGCTACTCAGTGCTGTAGTATCTGTCTTATCTCTGTCTGTGCCACCATGCTTGGCTAGTCCTCCTTATTGATTGATTGATTGAGACAGGGTTTCAGTATGCAGTTCAGGCTGGCCTTGACTTCACTATGTAGCCCAGGTTGGTCTTGAACTCACAACGATGACCCTGCCTCAGCCTCCCGGGTGCTGGGATTACAGGAGTGTGCCACCACACCAAGCTTTCATTCTTTTCTTTTTTAAAATTTTAATTTAATATAATTTTTTAATTTTCTGGTCTTTTTGAGACAGGGTCTTGCTATGCAGTTCAGGCTGGCCTTGAGCTCACTTTGTAGCCCAGGCTGGTCTCGAACTCACAGCGATCCTCCTGCCTCAACCTCCCAAGTGCTGGGATTACAGGCGTGCTCCGCCACAGTCGCCCGGCTTTTCATTCTTTTTTTATGGCTGAATAGCAGTCCATTGTTTTGCTATATCACAGTGTCTGTCTGTCCACTTAGCCATTGATGGGTATTTGGATTGTGCAAACTTTCTGCCTACTTAGAATAATGCTGTGGAGAACATTTTTGTGTACATTTTGATATGGACCTGTATTTTCATTTCTCTTGGGTAGACACATGGGAGTGGGATTGCCACATCATATGGTAACACTGGTTAACATTCATTTCAGACTGCTTTCTGAAGAAATTGCACCTTCTTTTGTTTGTACCAGCAGTGTATAGGTCTCCAATTTCTCTATATCCTCACCAACTCTTACTATTTTGTCCTTTGGATTATTATCTTCCTACTGTGGCTTTGATTTGTATTTCTCTAGTGGCTAATGATGGTGAGCATCTTTTCATGTCATTTGTATTTTTGGTGACATGTCTATCCAAATGTTTTGTCCCAAATTTTATCTTATTTTTACTTTTTTGGTTTTTTTTGAGACAGTCTTCTTATGTAGTTTAGGTTGGCCTTGAACTCTATATATCCTATACTGGATGTGAACTTGTGGAAATCCTCTTGCCTCAGCTTCCTGAGTGTTGAGATTATAGGCATGCACTACTATACCTGATTTTGTCCATATTTTATTTTACTTTTTCTTATTTTATTGAGTTGCTAGGGTTTTTTGAACAGTATAGATATAAATCTTTTATTGAATGTGATTTGCAAATATTTTGTCTTAGCTTATGGCTTGTGCTTTCACTTTTTTCAGTGCTGTCTCTTAAAATGCAAAAGTTTAGAATTTTAATAAGGTCTAGTTTATCAGTTTTTAAAAATAGGTTGTGTTTGATGTTGTACCTGAGGAATCTTTGTCTAGTTCAGTCTTAAAGTTTCTTCTAAAAGTTTTATAGTCTTAGCTTTCCTAACTAGTTCTCTCTTCCACCTTGAGTTAGTTTTAGTATATGTTGTAAAATAACAGGCAAAGTTCGTCATTTCACATGTAAATATCTGGTTGTTCCAGCACTATTTACTGAAAGGACTGTCCTTTCTCCACTGATTTGCCTTGAATTCCCTGTTTTCCCTCTTAACTTTCTGTCAGGTTCTGTATGGATCAGCTTTTTGTCACTGGGACCAAATACCCAGCATACACAGTGCAAAGGAGGAAGTTGTTTTTCTTTTTGCTCTTGATTTTAGAGCTTTTGGTTCATGGTTGGCTGATCTTAAGTAAGGCAGGGACGTCATGGTGAAGGGCAGGGGGTGGCCAGAGAGCAGAGCAAGGGAAGTAGTGCCAGAGAGGAAGTGGCCAGGTACCCAGAATAACCCAGAACTGTGCTTTACTAATCCCCTACGTGGCTCTGAACCCAATCAAGAGTGCAGTTTAATTGTTATAGATAACTAGTCACTTAGGCCCAAAGTTTAAGTTACTGTTCTGTCTTTGTCCTCATAGAGGTTGGAATTAGTGTTAGAAGCAGCTATAATGAAATAATTACCAAGTATATAAAAACTTTTTTTATATATGTTATTGGTTATGCAGGTTAATGGGTTTTATTTTGGCAGATTCCTACATGCACATAACATACTTTGATCATTTTTACCCCTCTGTTACCCTTGTCCCACCCTCCCACCTAGTTCACAATTTTGGAGGAGTTCATCTCCCCATTACTCTCCCTCACACCCTCTCCCACCCTGCTCTTCCCTTCCTCTTTTCCTACTTAGCATCTCTTTTTAGCTTTCACATATTAGGGCCAGCATACAATATGTCTTTCCAAGTCTGGTTCATTTTGTTCAGTATCATAGTATCTGGATCCATCCATTTTCTTGCAGAGTACAGAATTTCATTCTTCCTTGTGGCTGAATGATACTCCATCTCATATATACCACATTTCTTTTACCCATTCATCTGTTGATGTCACCTAGGCTGGTTCCATATCTTTGTTGTTGTGAATTGTGTTGTAATACACCTTGGCTATGCAGGTATACTGTAGTGTACTGACTAATTCCTTTGGGTATGTTCTAGGAGTGGTGTAGCTGGATCAAATGGTAGCTCTCTTTAGTGTTTTAAGGACCCTCCGTACTGTTTTCTGTAGCGGTGTCCTAATTTACATTCCCACCAGCACTGTAGAAGGGCTCCTACCCCTCTCCCGCAGTCTTTGCCAGCACTCACTGTTTTTCTGTTCTTGGTGATAGCCATTATGACTGGGGTGAGATGCAATCTCAGTGTAGTTTGGATTTGCATTTCCCTGTAGTCACATATTTGATAAGTGGGATGAATTAGTACATGCTTTGACTCGTGGAATAAAGGAAAGTAGTGTTTCAGAAACACAACAGTGGAGGATTGACCTGAATTGGAGGATTGGGAAATGTTTTCCTGAGGAAGTGAGAATTGACGTGGGATTTGAAAGCTACGTAGGAGTGAAACAAGTAAAGGAGGGGAAAGGGGTATTTAAGACAAGGGGAATAATATGTCAAGGACTTTAGACAGGAAGGTGCCTATTTGATATATTCAAGACCTGAAGGCAGCCCGGCCTTGTGACACATACCTGTAATCTCAGCTCTCTGGCAGGGTGAGGCAAGAGGACTACAAATTCAGACCTAGCCTGGGTAGTTTTGTGACTTGGTGAGACCTTGTCTCAAATTAAAAAATAAAAGGACTGGTAATGTAGCTCAATGTGAAGCCTTGGGTTCAAACCCTAGTACCCCCACCCCCACCAAAAAAAAGGCATGAAAGGGAGGGGATAGTGAGATAGTGAATGAAGTAAGAGGAAGCTGCAGGTAAGGGCTGAGGTCAGACGTTTACCATCTAAACTTGAAGAATTTTGGATTTTATCATAAAAGCTACAGGAAGCCATCACAGAGTTTTAAACTGGGTCTCCACTTTACTTCTTAGTCTAGTAGAATCCTTTAATGGTTAACTCAGAAGTTTTTTCTTTTTCTTTTTTTTTTTTTTTTTTGAGACAGTGTCTCTGAGTAGTTCAGGTTGGCTTTCAGTTCACTATGTAGCTCAGGCTAGCCTTAGACTTGCAGCAATCCTCCTGCCTCAGCCTCCTGAGTGCTGGGATTATAGGAATGTACCGTCTTCTCTTTTCTTTCTTTCCTTTTTTTTCCCCTTGCAGTACTAGCATGCCAGGACCTAGGCATGCTAGGTGAGTGCCCTGCCACTGAGCTGCATCCCTAGCACTTTATTAAATTTTTTGATAATTTGTCTCACTAAGTTGTCCAGGTTGGTTTTGAACTTGCTTGCCTGCCTCAGCCTCTTCAGTAGCTGAGATTACAGACTCATGTCATTGTACCCTGCTCTGCTTTTTTTTTTTTTTTTAATTTTTTTTTAGGTGATGGAGTCTTGCTGTGTTGCCCAGCCTGGTCTTTAACTCCTGGGCTCAAGTGATCTTCCTGACTCAGCCTCCCAAGTGCTGAGATTACAAGCATATGGCACTGTTCCTGGCTGAAGTTTAGTGAAATTTAATACTATTAAGAATGGCAGGGCCGGGGATATAGCTTAGTGGCACAAGCGCCTGCCTGGCAAGTGCAAGGTCCTGAGTTCAATTTCCGGTACCAGAAAACAAAAGAAAACAAAACATATTGGCTGGGGATTTAGCTCAGCGGCACAGCACCTGCCTGGCAAGCGCAAGGTTGTGAGTTCAATTCCTGGTACTGGAAAAAAAAAAAAAAAAAAAAAAAAAAAAAAAAACATCAAAAAAAAAGAATGGCATATATAACATGGTCTTACTTTTGTCAAGTTTCTTCATTTTCACTGTTGTTCTATCTGTATAGGTATATGTAATAAGGTCTCAGTATTTTTATGTTAATGTTTATTAATTACAGATTTGGAATAATACTTTCAAAATTTTTAGGCTAGAATAGCCTAGAACTAGAGTACTTACCTAGCATACACAAGGCCCTGGGTTCAATCCCCAGTACTGCAAAAATGGTTTAGAAACGTTATCTCATAGTGAGGCCTGCAATTCCCACGCTCTGGGATGCTGAGGCAGGAGGATCGCCATTGAGTTTGCCTGGGCTACATGCTAAGTTCAAGGCCAGACTGAACTACAGAAAGAGACCCTGTCTCAAAACAACAGCAACCAACTTTAATTTTGAGGGGCACAGCTCAGTGGTAGAGTACTTTCCTAGCATGTATAAGGCCCTGGCTTCTATCCGCAGAACTGCAGAAGACAAAAACCAAAAAATCTAATTTTTGCATATTCCTGTATCATTTGAGTACTTCATAGTTTTGCTTTCCTAAAAAATGGGTGCTATAAACAAAAATGCTGAGATGATAACTGTCATAAACTCTGCATAGCTGGAAGAGTGCATGAAGCCAAGCATGACTGTGCATAGTACAATCCCAGCACTCTGGGAGGCTGATGCTCCTGAAGTGGGCTGCAAGTGTGAGCCCAGCATGGACAACTTAGCAAGACCCTGTCTCAAAATAAAATTAAAACTTAAAAAGGGCTGGATTAGGATTAGAGTAAAAAAAAAATGGCTGGAGATTGAGTTCAGTGATAGAGCATTTGCCTAGCATGTGTGAGACTCTGGCTTTGATCCTCAGTACCAAAAAAAGGGTCATTGTAATTTTTTCCTTTGTATCTTCTAAAAATATTTCTCTTGTTTTTTTTTTTTAACATTTATTTATTTATTTTTGTCTTTTTGAGACAGGATCTCACTGTGCAGTTCAGGCTGGCCTTGAGCTGACTTGGTAGCCCAGCCTGATCTCGAACTCACAGTGATCCTCCTGCTCAGCTTCCTGAGTGCTGGGATTACAGGCCTGTGCCACTATGCCTGGCTTTCTCTTAAATTTAAAATTAAAAAAAAGAAACGAAAATTGCCTGGCTATTTCATAGCAGATTAAGCCAGATGTGGAAATGACAGTTGCTCTGATTTGTCTACATCATGCCTTCTTAGGAGTTGATTACCCAGTTGTAAAAAGTATAAAAATGGCAATACTAAAATGAAGTTCAGATACATGCACCTTTGGATTGTATTTAAAGAACATAATACTTTGAAAACTGTCATTTTGAGCCAGGACAAAATATCTTATGAAAATGATAATGCTGCTGGGCGTTGGTGGTATATGCCTGTAATCCCAGGAATTTGTGAAACTGAGGTATAAGGATCATGAGTTGAAAGCCAACCTGGGTGACATGCTGAGACCATGTCTCAGGAAAAGAAAAAGAAAAAAATGAAACTGAGAATAATATATTGATATGTGAAAGCCTAAATCTTAGGAAGCAAAGTGGTAATGGTATTCATACTTTTTTTTTTGTGTGTGTCTTTTTGAGACAGGGTGTTTTTTTTAATTTTTTTTTTTTTTTCTTTTCCCCAGTACTGGGAATTGAACTCAACTTTGCGCTTGCCAGGCAGGCACTGTGCTGCTGAGCTAAATCCCCAGTCCCTGAGACAGGGTCTTGATATGCAGTTCAGGCTGGCCTTGAGCTCACTTTGTAGCCCAGGTTGGTCTCAAACTCACAATGTTCCCCTGCCTCAGCCTCCCAAGTGCTGGGATTATAGGCGTGCACCACCATGCCCGGCTCTTCATACATTTTCAGTAGTAAGAAATTATGTCACATTTGAAATAAAAAGTGGATTTTTCATTTCTTAAGGTTTTCGTTATGTGAGGTCATGATAAGCAGTGATTTATTATTTTTTATTTAGTTTTTGGAAGGGGTTCTGGCTATGTTGCTTGGGCTGGCCTTGAACTCCAGGGCTGGTGTGATCCTCCTGCCTCAGTGCCTGAATATCTAGGACTATAGGAATATGCCATCATACCTAGATCACAGTTTTTTTTTTTTTTTTTTTTTTTGCTGTATAAAGAAACTAATTTGCTAGTTGCAAAAGTCTGGACACTAAATATAACTTATTGTTGGACTGAAAATTAGAAAAAAAAATTTCACATCAGTGTGAAGTTCCAAGTTCTATCAAAATGTGAGAGAGTAGGCATAGTTGTAGAAAAGACCGGATGTAATCCCTATGTAAATACCTTAGTGATGTCTTCGTTGAATCTCCAACTTTTTTTCAGACTCAGCAACATAAAGAAGATGGGACATATGTTTTCTATCCCCACAGTCAGCCCGTTAGCTGTCTTTACTTCTCACCTGCCAACCCAGTTCACCTCCTTTCCCTGAGCTACGATGGCACATTGCGATGCGGGGATTTCTCTAGGGCAGTCTTTGATGAGGTAAGTGGTTATGTTGTTACGTGCCAACGTCAGATGAGATTCTGGATTCTCCGTGAGATGCCACATGCGTGATTATGATCAGTCACATTGGCGGAAGGGGTACAGTGTTGGGGCTAAGTTCAAGTCTCAGACCATCTGTTGCTAGTTGTGTGTGACCTGTACAAGTTACTTAACCTCTTTATGGCTCAATTTCCTTAGTCGTGAAGTGGGATAGTCATGATAGCTGCCTTGGAGGGTTGTCACAAGGATTAAATGAGTTAGTGAAGATAAAATACTAGGACAGTGCCTGCCATATAGTGTTTACTCTTTCTTTCTTTCTCTCTTTTTTTTTTTAACTTTATTTTTTGTTTAAGAGGCAGGGTCTTTCTTGGTTGTCTAGACTGGCCTCACCAGTTTTCCTGCCTCAGTCTCCTGTGTAGCTGGGACTAGCGGCATGTGCCACCATATTAATTTTTTTAAGAAAGATTTTATTTATTTATTATTTATTTATTAAAGGGTGAAAGGTTTAGTGTAGCTCACAGTTTGTAGCAGTTTTAGTCCATAGTCAGCTGGCGGAGTGGCTTGGCAGAGGAGCATTGCAGAGGAGAAACAGTTCACAGCAGATAGAAGACAGCAAGAGCAAAAAAGCAAGGGCCAGAAAGATTTTAAATGACGTAACTTTACTATTTCTAGGATGAAGCCTTATACTTCTTCCCTTGTGGGGGAAAAACGCTGAGATACTACTCCCTTTTTTGTTCATCATTTTTGCTCTTTGCAGGCATCACTTTTGTGGGATGACTCTTAAACGTGACAAAAAAGAGAAACTCATCAGCGTGGTGTTATATTAAATACCCAAGAAATTTTGTAATACACAAAACTTTCTGTGAAATATACACAGAAAGTATAAAATTTGATCTTCCATTATCTTCAAGCCAAGCCTTCATGTGCCATCTCTTCCCCTTCTTCCTTTCTCCTCTTCGTACACCTTCTTCTCCATTTTCTTCTTCCTCTTGTTCTTCCTCTTCTTCTCCCTACCTCTTCTCTCTTTCTCTCCCTCTCCTCTCCTGCCACCTCTCCCACTCCTTTTTCATATCTTTTTTTGTTTTTTTTTTGAGACAGGGTCTCACTATGCAGTTCAGGCTGGCCTTGAGCTCACTTTGTAGCCCAGGCTGGTCTCAAACTCACAACGATCCTCCTACCTCAGCCTCCCGAGTGCTGGGATTACAGGCATGCCCCACCATTCCTGGCTTCCATCTCTTTTTTTCTTCTGCTGGGAATTGAACCCAGGGCCTGGAACCACACCTCCAGCCCAGATTTAATGTGTATGATGCGATTGAAATCATATATATATTATTCTGCCAAAAAATGTATACACACTTCAAGAAAAGAAAAACTTACATACTTTAATACTAAATTTATTGAGACATCATGAGATTAATTCAAGTTACCTTTGGCTTCTACAGTTACAAGAAGTGCTCAGAGTGGTGGCTGTTAACTTGTAGACACTTACTAGTACAGTGAACTGCTGCGTGGGTAGCCTTGGTCATCAACATCGCTGCACATGCATTCTCAATTTCTTCTCTAAGAGCTGCCAGTGTAGTGGGTTTTCTGTGGTATACGACATCCTTTAGGGTCCCCTGTATGAGGGTAAAGCCATTTGTTGGGAAAACATACTATTTTTCTTTCCTTGAAGTATGTATACATTTTTTGGTGGACTCCTTAAACAAAAAAAA